AAGCACATGGGGCCACAGAGGACAAAACCTCCCCAGGGGCCCCGGGAAGCTCGAGCAGGGAGAGCCCGGTGGGACCCGCCCGCGTGGGGCTCCCGGAGGCCCCTCAATCCGCCGCCCCCACCCGGGAATGCAGGACTCCTCCTGGAACCGGGGTGTCTGGAAAAGCAGCCCACAGCAGTGGGAAATGCACGGAAGGGGAACCCCAGTTGGAGACCAACAGGCAGTGAGCACCGAGGGAACGAGGAAAAGGGCGGGACGGAGAGCGTCCAGAGGGTGAGAAGCCCTTACAAGGTCCCGGGTGGGGTCGGAGGAGGCAACTGGGAACCGAAGGTGTCTGCTCTGATGCCTTGTCACTAAGGTCAGGCCACTCGGGGTCTCCAAGACCCCCCAGGATGTTCAGGGAGGTCCCTCCCCTCTGACCCATCAGGATTCTAATGTCTCCCGCCTGTGAGGCCTCTGCAACCTCCCACCTTCCCGCAGCCCCCCTGCTAGTCTGCCTGGCCTTGTCAACTCTCCCACAGATGCCAAGTTTGGTTTTCTGTCAAACACTGGGAGACCTGAGTGGAATTTTTCCATTCCTTCTCCATCCCACTTCCATGGTGGGAGAATTTACACTTCAGAAACTGGCAAACACTACAAAGTGGGGCTAGGTTTACTGTATTACTGAATGCCTGGACTTAAGTGATGGAGATTATGGTAACAATGCAGACGACACTTAACCGTGTACAGTGTTTCTGCCCATGACATTATGTGTGACACAAAAGTTTGTGAAAAACAATGAGGAAATACCCTTCCAGTATTTAGAAAAGATGACTCCATACAGAAAAACGTTGCTCACACCATTTAAGAGGAAAATTCCAGCATACGTCTTTGTTGTTTCAGTGTCTTATCTGAAAATGAAAAAGGAAATAGCCATAACTCATATGAAAGAGAATAGGTAAATGAGATGAATAGAAAGTGTACAAAAAATGATTTGCAAATAAAGACATGAAAAACTGAAAATCACTAATCCTTTGGGCAATGCGATTAAAATGACACTGAGATAGCACCACACACATTAAAAAGCTGACATTGAAGAATGACCGTATCAATTATTGGCAGGCACTTGGAGGAAATGGAACTTGCACACACTCCTGGTGGGAGTGCAAAAGGGACAATCATGTTAGATCACGGGCTGGCAGTTTCTTCAAGTTAAACATTCACCTACCCTGTGCCTCAGACACTGCACTCTACATTATTGACAAAAGATAAAAGAACACACACCATATAAAGAATGGACACAAATGTTTGCAACAGCTTTATTTTCAATAGTCAAAATCTAGAAATAACCTAAAAGCCCACAAACACATGAATGGATAAACTAACAGTGTTCTATCCCAAGATAATATTACTCAGCAAAAGATGAGCTATTCATATATCATTGGTAAATCTCTAATTAATTATGAAACATAAAGGAAATCAGAAAAAACAACAGAATATAACAGTTTGATTCCAATCATATAAATTCAAGGAAATGCAAAGGTATCTATTGTAAGGAAAGTAAATGAATGGTTAGCTGGCGAGTTGAGAAGGGTGAGGAGAGATTATGAGGTAAGTATGCCAAGACAAGTAAGGTCATTCTCAGGACTATGATGATGGTCTCAGAGGTTCACACCTATGTCAAAACTTATCAAATTGTACACTTCAAGTACATGCAGTTTAGTACATGTAAATTATAGCATAAAACATTGGCTGAAGAAAAAAAAAATCTGTATGTTCCACTCTTTTTTGGAAAATAAGTTTACAACCCTACATTTCAGTGGTCTAGCGGTTAAGATTCAATATTCTTGGGGCCAGCCCAGTGGCGTAGTGGTTAAGTTTGCGCACTCCACTTCAGCAGCCCAGGGTTCATGAGTTCGGATCCTGGGCGTGGACCAACACACCGCTCATCAAGCCATGTTGCGGCAGCGTCCCATATATAAAGTAGAGGAAGACTGGTAGAGATTTTAACTTAGGGCCAATCTTCCTCACAAAAAAAGAAAAGAAAAAGGATTCAGCATTCTCATTGCCAGGCTGGGTTCATTTCCAGTCAGGGAATCCCACCACCCGTTTCTCAGTTGTCATACTGTGGTGGCTGTATGTTACTGTGATGCTGAAAGCTTTGCCTCCAGTATTTCAAATACCAGCAGGGTCGCCCATGGTGGACGTGTTTCAACAGAGCTTCCAGACTAACACAGACTAGGATGAAGGACCTGGCCACCCAGTTCCCCCAAAATTGGCCATGAAAACCCTATGAGTAGCAGAGGAGCCTTGTCTGTTATAGTGCCAAAAAATGAGAGGATGAGCAAAAACGATGGGCCGGGTTCTGCTCTATTGTACACAGGGTTTCTTGGAGTTGGAATCCACTTGATGGCACTAACAACCCTATACTGAATCCACCAACTCTCTCCTCATGCCCTCTGAGGGGGGTTCAGTCTTCCTTCAGTGGCAGCAAATACGGGAAGCAATGAAGGACACTGCCACCTGAGTCAACAGGAATGCTGCCTGGGTCACAAGAGCCACATTGGTCAACTATGAATACCCTTTTTCTTTCTCCTGCCTGTGCAGTAATGGCCTTGAGGTGAACATCACTGAGAAGCTACAGAAATCCACAAAACCTTTCAATTATTTTTATTATATTCTCTGACAATGACTTCAGCTACACAGATTAACATGCCTGGAGGTCCTGAGATTTGTGTACAACCTGATCCTGCACACTCACCATCACAGAAACATTTCTGGATGCACTTCTAGAAGAGGCACATTCCATCTAGTTGGCTGCAGTCTCTTCCACTCCCTGTTATGCCAGTGTTTCTGTACCAATTACGGTTTCCCCTGGACTCAATGGTCGTACAACCAGTGACCCTCACCCAATGAACTGTGGACATGAGGGCACATGGCTCTTTGTAGATCTGGGGAAGATATCCCCTCCACAGTCCTGTCATCCCCTGTGATACCTCCTGTAAGGAAGGGAAAAGTGCTCTCAGATGCACTTGAGGTTCTGACACCAGCCCTCTCCTCAGGGTCATCACTGACACTCCTGAAACACACAGCATCCAGGCCTCAAATAAGGAGGAGAAAGCCCTGTAGTCTGTCCCAAGAGACTGTGGGCAGCAACAGAAATTTGGTCAAAAGTGGCTATCTTCTGCCATCATACTTTCTCTCCTCAGGCACACCAAGTTTGAGACTCTTAAAAAGTTGTTCACCCCTTCATGCTTGTAGAGCCCAAATCTGTTTATAAACTACCCCACACAGTAAACAGAACACCTAAGGTCAAAGAGGATTTAAACTATAAGGCCTTCATTATTGTACAAGACAGAGCAACATGCAGAAAGCAGTTCGAGTTTGTGGCGTGGAAGCTGGAAAAATTCATCCTAAGTATCACGTGACACCACAATCTTAAAAAGGTAGTCATTTCTTTTTTTTTTTTTTTGTGAGGAAGATCAGCCCTGAGCTAACATCCATGCTAATCCTCCTCTTTTTGCTGAGGAAGACCGGCTCTGAGCTAACATCTATTGCCAATCCTCCTCATTTTTTTCCCCCCAAAGCCCCAGGAGATAGTTGTATGTCATAGTTGCACATCCTTCTAGTTGCTGTACGTGGGATGTGGCCTCAGCACGGCCAGAGAAGCAGTGTGTCGGTGCACTCCTGGGATCTGAACCCGGGCTGCCAGTAGCGGAGCACACGCACTTAACCGCTAAGCCACGGGGCCAGCCCAAGGTGGTCATTTCTGCAAGCTGCCAGCCCAACTCATGATATTCTCAGGGCCAACAGTGATTCAGGCCCATGTCAAAGGTAGTCAAGGTGGAGGGAAATCTGACCCTGAGGGCTCAGGTGACTCCTAATTTGCTCTAATACATGGGAGAAGAGGTCAGATTCCCTGAGCACACTGGGGTGATGACTGATGCACACTGTGTGGACCTGCCAGGTGGTAGAGGTGAAAGGGGTTTGTCCACACAAACTAGGTATGACATCAATATAGAAAGAGCCTCGGACAGGTTAGAAAGGGCAACATATTTTCACAAGCTTCTTGCATAACAAACTTATAGGAAATCTCCCGACTGTGCATGTTCAGATGTATGACAGTTGATTGAGAGAGATGGCTCCCCACAGAGTTGCCTCTGGTGTCATTCTTCTGAACAGGAAACTGCACATTCCCTGCCCATCTAATGCCTTTCTCTAGTGTGAACTCTCTGATGTTTACAGAGGATAGATTTTCATATAAAAAATTTCCCACATTCACTGCATTCATAAGGCCTTTCTCCACTGTGACCTCTGATGATAACGGAGATTGGGGCTAGAGATAAAACATTTCCCACATTCACTGCATTCATAAGGCCTTTCTCCTGTGTGAATTCTCTGATGATAACGGAGGGTGTCACTACTGGTAAAAGATTTCCCACATTCACTGCACACATAAGGCCTTTCTCCAGTGTGAACTCTCTGATGATAACGGAGTTTGGAGCTAAAGATAAAAGATTTCCCACATTCACTGCACTCATAAGGCCTTTCTCCTGAGTGAACTCTCTGATGATAACCAAGGCCAGAGGTAGAGATAAAAGATTTCCCACATTCACTGCACTCATAAGACCTTTCTCCATTATGAATTTTCTGGTGTATTGAGAGAGAAGATTTTCGGCTAAAGGATTTCCCACATTCATTACACTCATAAGGCCTTTCTCCAGTATGAACTCTCTGGTGTTTATTCAGTTGTGATCTATCCTTAAAGGATTTCCCACATTCAATGCACACATAAGGCCTTTCTCCAGTGTGAAGTCTCTGATGATGACGGAGGTTGGAACTACAAGTAAAAGATTTCCCACAGTCACTGCACTCATAAGGCCTTTCTCCAAGGTGATCTCACTGATGATACTAGAAGGCGTTGCTACTGGTAAAAGATTTCCCACATTCACTGCACACATAAGGCCTTTCTCCTGTGTGAACTCCCTGATGATAATGGAGTTTGGAGCTAAAGATAAAAGATTTCCCACACTCACTGCACTTGTGAGGCCTTTCTCCAGAATGAACTCTCTGATGCTAATGAAGGACAGACCTAGACGTAAAAGATTTCCCACAATCACTGCACTAATAAGGCCTATCTCCTGTGTGAGATCTCTGATGATAACTGAGGGCAGAGCTGGAGGTAAAAGATTTTGCAAAGTCATTACATTTATAAGGCCTCCCTCCAACTTGAACTCTCCTGTGTTGAATGAACACTGAGCTACCACTAACAGATTTTGCATATTCACTGCAAACATTGCTGTTTTCTCCACTGTTCTCCCTCTGGGGATGAAGGAGGACAGATTGGTGGCTTAAGGATTTCCCACATTTGCTGCACTCACATGGCCATGTCCCAGTATGAATTCTTTGATGTTGATTGAGGGTTGAGCTTCACCTAAAAGATTTGCCACATTCTCCACACACATGAAGCCTTCTTCCAGTGTGGACTCTCTGGTGCACAACAAATGAGGATTTGTACCTGAATGTTCTCCCACATTCACAGCACACAAAACACTGTCTTCCAGTGTGGACACCCTGGTCCTGAGCAAGTGTGCCTTTGGGGCTGAAGGCTTTCTTGCATTCTCCCCAGGTGTAATGACTTTTTATGCTTGGTGAAGTGGCCCAGCACTGGGTGATTTTGTTTGGCTTCTCCCTGGTATGAGTGGCCTGTTGCTGCTGATGTCCTAAGCTGGCCAGGAAGTCCTTCCCAACCTCCCCCAAGGGAAAGGGCTTCTCTGACACATGGAATCTGCAGCTCTTCACAAACGAGGCCCTGTCCACACTGCTTCTGAAGGGTTTCTCTCCCGTATGCTGCTCCTGGTGCTGTTGAAACTTTGCAATGAAATCAAATTGTTTCACACAAGCCCCACACCTCAACAGTTTCAGGCTGTGTTGTGTTCCCTGCTGCTCAGCCAAGTGGAAAATGTCTCTCAAGACCGGAACACACGTCTCACAAGAGTGGGTCTTCTGGGAAAATGGAGCTGCCTTGGGAGTCCAGGCAGATGAAACTTCTACAGAAATGCTCTGTTCAAAGGGAGCCTCCACATCCTCTGCTCCACAGCAGCAACCTCAACCAAAGAAACCCTGGTGAAGTACATGTTGACTTCAGGGATGGGGCAATCCCATCACAAGTGTACATCTCTCTCATCTCACAATGAATCTATGGGATGCTTTTCAAGACAAGGTAGTGGAATTCAGTTGTAGGAGCCACTGGCTGCTGTGCATTCCTGGGTCCCTAAGGTCACAGATTGGTGGAGACCTCACCAGGGAAAGGACACAAAGACAGGGTGTGACATAAATAAGAGAGGCAGGCTCCACAAGTTGTTTTCTGCCCACAGCTTCCTGCAGGACCTTTTCTGCTGCTGATGTTAGGCTCAGTAGAATGTCCAGCCTAACCTGTGAAAATCCCATCACAACAGATTAGCTGCTGCTCAAGGTCAATATAAGGATATGTTCATACCTCACAGCTCAACATGTGAGCGCCAACGTTGGAGTGCACTACAGAAGGGGTGCTGAGAGAAAGGCGTCAAATGCGGAGTCCAGAGAGGTGATTATCCCTGGGCTGGAAGCCACAGAGGACATGACAGTAGAACTGATAACTTGCCAAATTGTCAGTATGGCAAAGGAAAGGTAGCAATGGGGTGTGGCCACCGGCAACAGCACCAAATCTGGTTGAAGAGGACAGGCTCCTGGCTATGATGTGAACACAGGCCTGAGGCACACTCTCCCCAGCTGCCAGTCACCAGAGCCAGGCCCCCTGAGCCCACCCTGCCATGGCTGGAGTCATGTCCATCCTGTGGCACACAGACAAGTCTTCCTCCTAAGCTTTAGATGGGTAACTACATGGGACACGGAGGACACAAGTCCTAAGGGAATGACAGGAGGTGAATGGCCTGCACTGTCCCAGAGCAACTCAGCCCATAACAGACCACAGAAAAGAGATCTGGGTGAGTGATCTCAGCAGGATGGAGGAGGAAACCAGCCTCGGCCACCAACAAGAAACAATTAGACAGCTATCTATGAACAAAACTGGCCCTTAGACGGCTCAAGAGCCCAATTAAGATGCCACAGCAACACAGTGGAACATACAAAGGAGACTAACCACTCACAAAAGATCACTGGGGACATCGACTTAGTGAAGACACCTGGAGATGATCAGGAACAAAGAAGAAGGGCAGGGGCTGTGTGTACCAGCCAAAGGGCAATTGCCATCACAGTCACCAATGGCCTGTTCTGCAAAGCACCCCAGCAGCCTTTGTTGCAGACAACCTCCACAGCCCCCACTACAGCTGCTGAACCCACAGTGTGCACAGCAGAGGAGGCCAAGTGTTTATAGGCAGGGACCGCAGTTGCTGCCATACTGACAGCTTTCCCACTAAGGTAACCAACAGCTATTGCCACCGGTGACTTGCCAGAGAATAATATGTTGAGCTGCCCCTGCAAAAGAAGAAGCTATTGCTCTGTTCCAGGATCAGAGCTCCCACCCCTCTCAACACCACACACATCCCAGACACCAGAGCTACAACTGCTCCATGGTTGCCCATACTGCATAACCTGACTCCATGGCTGTCATCTGAGCGCCTGTACCTCAGACACTAGAGCCACGGCTGCTGTGGGCTAACCAGCTCCTCAGATCCCAGAGACACTATCTCTCTGTGTTCACTCGTGCTCTGTTTACATGCTCCATCACTGCTCAGTGTGCGACTGCATCGTACACAGTGAAGTCAATGCCACTGCAGGCTATTCAGCGTCTGGGACCTAGAACTACTATTGCTCTGTGTCTCTTTCCACCCTAGAACCCAGATCCCTACCTGCAGCACAGGTGCCTGCACATCAGGCACCAAAGCCGCCACCACCAGGAAGCCACCCAAAAGCCAGACTGGGCATCAGAGGGAACCACTCAGACCAAATATTTCCTGTAGCAGAAAGAGATCTGGAGGTCCCCAGCAGCACTCTCCACTGCTGACAACACCCACAGCCTTAGCTGTTGAGGACCCCTGCAATCTTTGCTGATGCTGACATCAGGTGACAGAGCTGCAGAGATACTAAGCTGCTGGGCCTTCTTACAGTAGGAAACACCACAACCTACCAAGGCAGCACACTCACACCCACACATGGATGAAGAGTTTCCCCACCAAAACCTTTCTGTAAAGTCTGGAAGAACTCAGTTCTCCATGAAATGTACAGACATCAAAACGAGGCTAAAAGAAATGCAAAAATCCAGAAAACATGACACCCACCAAGGAACACAATAATTTACCAGTCACTCCAAAGAAATGTAGATCTATGAACCATCAGAGAAAGAATTCAAAGTAATTGTATTAAGGAAGCTCTGTGAGCTACCAGAAAACAGAAATAGACAATTCAACAAAATAAGGAAAACAATATGCAAACAAAATGAGATTTTCAACAGAAAGGTAGAAAATATAAAGAACCAAACAGAAATGATGGTGCAAAAGACTATAAAGAATGAAAAAACGCAACAGAGAGCATCAATAGCCAACTTGATCAATCCAAAGAATGAACCTGAAACTTTAGCTAGGTCTTTTGAAATCATCCAAAAAAAAAAAGACAAAAGAACTAAAGAGTGAAAAAAAGAGTGGAAAAAAGCCTACATGAATTATGGGACATCATGAAACAAAACATTGGCATCACAGGAGCCCAAGAAGGAGAAGAGAGAGAGGCAGGGGCAGAAAGCTTATTGAAAGAAATAACGGATGAAAACTTCTCAAATCTGGGGAAAGAAGTGGACATCAAGGTACATGATGCTCATATTAAGTCCCCCCAATAATTCAATCCAAAGAAGACATCACCAAGACACATAAAATTCAAGAAGTAATGACAAAGAGAATTCTGAAGACTGCAAGAGAAAAGAAATTCCTTGTATACAAGGGAACCCTCACAAGGATACGAGCGGTTTTCTTTGCTGAAACACTGCATACCGGGACAAAGTTGGATGACGTTCTACATGCTGGAAAAAAAAAAAACTGCAAACCAAGAATACTTTATCAGCAAAGGTGCCCTTCAGAAATGAAGGAGAGAAAAAGACTTTCCCAGACACAGAAGCTGAGGGACTACCCTACAAGAAATGTTAAAAGGAGTTCTTCAAACTGAAATGAAAGTACACTAATTAGTAACACAAAAATATAAAAAACACTGGCAAAGATTAGTACACAGCCAGATTCAGAATACTCTAATACTATAATAGTGTGTTAATCACTCAACTGTAGTATAAAGGATAAAAGATAAAGAGTATGAAAAATAACTATACCCACAATAATTTGTTAATGGTTACACAACATAAAAAGATGTAAATTGTGACATCAAAACATAAAATGTATGTGGGGGCGGGGGTAAAAGAGTAGAGCTTTTGTATGTGATCAAAGTTAAGTTGTTATCAGGTGAAAATAGAATGCTATAAGACGTTTTATATAAGTCTCATGGTAACCACAATGCAAAAACCTACATTAGAAACACAAAAGAGAAAGAGAAAGGAATGAAAGCATACCACCACGGGCAATCACAAAGGAAGACAGCAAGAGAGGAAGAAAGGAACCAAGAACTACAAAACAGCCAGACAATATTTAACAAAATGGCAACAGTAGGTCCTAATAAAATTCTCCAATCAAAAAACATACAGTGGCTGGATGGGGAAAAAAACCAAGATCCAACTATATGCTACCTACAATACAGTAACTTGAGCTTTCAGGACACACACAGGCTGAAAGTGAAGGGTTTAAAAGAGATATCCCATGCAAATGCAAACCAGAGAGCAGGGGTAGCTATACTTATATGAGATAAAATAGACATTAAGTCAAAAGCTGTCACAAGAGACAAAGAAGGTCATTATATAACAATAAAAGAATCGATTCATCAAGAGGATGTAACAATTATATATATATATGCACCACACGTAAGTGCAACTATATTAAGTATTAAACAAATACAAACAGATCTGAAGGCAGAAAAGACAGCAATGGAATATTCAGAGGGAACTTCAATATCCTAATTTAAACAACGGGTGGATATCCAGACAAAAAATGAGTAAGGATATATGAACTGAACAACACTTTAGTCCAAATGGATCTAACAGACATATACAAACATTCCATCCCACTACAGCAGAATACACATTCTTCTCAAGTCCACAGACAATATTCTCTAGGACAGATCATGTTATGTCAAACAAGTCTTAACAAATATTGGAAGACTGAAATCATATCAAATACTGTTTCATAACACAATGGAAAAACTAGAAATCAGTAACAGGATGAAAGCTAAAAAATTCACAAATATGTGGACATTAAACAACACACTCTCGACAAATCAATCAAAGAAAAAATCGAAAGGAAAATCAAAAACTATCTTGAGACAAACAAAAATGAAAACAAAACATATGGAACAGGCAAAAGCACTTCTAAGAGAAAAGATTAGAGCAATAAATGCCAGCATTAAGAAAAAAAAAAATTTCAAATAAACAACCTAACTTTACACTTCAAGAAACTAGAAAAAGAACAGAGACCAAAGTTAGCAGAACAAAGAAAAAGACAAAGATCAGAGCAGAAATAAAGAAATAAGAAACTATAAAAGCATTAAAAGATCAACAATACTAACAGCTAGTTTTTGGAAAAGATAAGAAAAATTGACAAACCTTTAGCCAGACTAACTTAGAATAAATCTCCCAACAAAGTAAAGGCCACGAACAGATAGATTCACTGATGAATTCTATCAACAGTTTAAGAAGGATTAACATCAATTTTTCACAAACTCTTCCAAAAATTTGAAGAGGAAGGAACATTTCCAAACTTATTTTAGGAGGCCAGCATTAACCTGATACCAAAGCTAGACAAGGACACCACAAGAAAAGAAAATTACGGGCCAACATCCCTGATGAACACAGATGTTAAAAACTCAACAAAATACTAGGAAACCAAATTCAACGGTCCACGAAAGGAATCATAAACTGTGATTAATCCTTGAGATGCAAGGATGTTCATCATAAACAAATCAATAAATGTACTATACCACATTAACAGAATGAAGGCAAAACATCATATGATCATCTCAATAGATGCAGAAAAAGCATCTGACAAGACTCAGAATCTTTTCATGATAAAACTTCTCAAAAAATTAGGTATAGAAGGAACATACCTCAATATCAAAAAGGCCATATACGATAGGCCCAGAGCTACCAGCATATTCAAAAATGAAAAGGTAAAAGCTCTTCCTCTAAGATTAGGAACAAGACAAGGATACCTACCCCCAAGACTCCTATATAAAATAGTACTGGAAGTGCTAGCTAGAGCAATAAGGCAAGAAAAATAAATTAAAAGTATCCAAACAAACAAAAAAAGTAAAACTGTGTTTGCAGATGACATGATCTTATATAAAGAAAACCATAAAACCTCCATTAAAAAACTGTCAGAAAGAATAAATGAACTCAGTAAATTTGCAGCACATAAAATCAACATACAAAAATCAGCTGTGTCTATACACTAACAATGAAATATCTCAATAAGAAATTAAGAAATCAATCCCATTTACAATAGCATGAAAAACAATAAAATACTCAGGAATAAATTTAACCAAGGAGGCAAAAGACCTGTATACTGGAAAGTATAACAGACTGATGAAAGAAACTGAAGACACAAACAAATGGAAAGATATTCCATGTTTTTGGATTGGGAGAATTACGATTGTTAAAATACCTCTACTATCCAAAGCAACCTACAGATTCAATGCAATCTCTACCAAAATTCCAATGGCATTTTTACCAGAAATAGAAAAAGAATCCTAAAATTCGAAACACAAATGACCTCAAATAGCCAAAGCAATCTTGATCAAGAAGATCAAAGTTAGAGGCATCACACTTCATGATTTCAAACCACATTATAAAACAACAGTAATCAAAACGGTATAGTACTGAAAAAACAGACACAGAGACCTATGAAATAGAACATAGACCCCCAGAAATAAACCCACACATATAAGATCAACTACTCTTTGACAAGGGTGCCAAGAATACACCAGGGGAAAGGATAGTCTCTTCAATAAGTGGTGGTGGGAAAACTGGATATGCACATGCAAAAAAAATGAAACTAGGACCCTACCTTACACAACTCACAAAAATTAACTCGAAATGGATTAAACACTTAAATATAAGACGAGAAATGTAAAACTCTTTGAAAAAAACTCCTTGATGTTGATTTTGGCAATGAATTTTTCGATATGACACCAAAAGGACAGGCAACAAAGGCAAAAATAAACAAGGCGGGGTACGTCAAATTAAAAACCTTCTACATAGCAAAGGAAGCAATCAATAAAACGAAAACAGAGAAAATATTTGCAAACGCTGTATCTCACAAGGGGTTAATATCTAAAATATATCAAGTACTCATATAACTCAATAGCAACAGAAAAATCCGATTAAAAATGGGCAATTACAACTAGAACGTACAATTATGTACTGGGGCTTTGGGGAGGGAAAAAAAAAAGAAAAGAAAGAGGAAGACTGGCAACAGATGTTACCTCAGGGCAACTCTTTCCCAGCAAAAAAAAAAAAAAGGGCACAGGCCAGCCCAGTGGCGCAAGTGGTTAAGTGCGTGTGCTCCGCTGCGGCAGCCCGGGGTTCACCAGTTAGGATCCCAGGCACGCACCAACGCACTGCTTGGCAAGCCATGCTGTGGCAGAGTCCCATATAAAGTGGAGGAAGATGGGCACGGATGTTAGCCCAGGGCCAGTCTTCCTCAGCAAAAAAAGAGGAGGATTGGTAGATGTTAGCACATGGCTGATGTCACAAAAAAAAAAAAGGGCAAAGGACCTGAATAGACGTTTTATCAAAGAAGATACACAAATGGCCAGCAGCTATATAAAACAATGCTCTTTCTCACTAATCAACAGGAAAATACAAATCAAAACCACAATGAGATATCACCTTACACCTGATAAAATGGCTACCATCAAAAAGAGCAGAGATAACAAGTGTGGGTGAGGGTATAGATTTAAGGGAACCCTTGTTCACTGTGGTTGGAATAGGAAAAAAAAAAAATTGGGGGCCAGCCCTATGACATAGCGGTTAAGTGTGTGAGCTCCATTGCTGGTGGCCCGGGTTCGGATCCTGGGCGCGCATTGACACACCGCTTGTCAAGCCATGCTGTGGCGGTGTCCCACATAAAGTGGAGGAAGATGGGCACAGATATTAGCTCAGGGCCAGTCTCCCTCAGCAAAAAGAGGAGGACTGGCATGGATGTTAGCTCAGGGCCGATCTTCCTCACACACACACAAAAAAATTTGAAATCATAGAAACCGAGTAGAATGCCAGGAGCTGGGGCATGTGGAAAATGGGGAGCTGTTGGTCAAAAGGTACAAACATGCAGTTATAAGATGAGTAAGTTCTGAGGATATAATGTACAGCATGGTGACTATAGTTAACAATACTCTATTGTACACTTTAAATTTACTGACAGTAGATCTTAAGTATTCTTAACAATAACAAAATAATAATAAGGTAACTATGAGGTGATGGATGTTTAGTTAACTTCATTGTGACAATTCGTCATAATGTATAAATATATCAAATCATCACGTTGTACATTTTAATATACAGTCGGCCTGCATATCCACAGGTTCCGCATCCGTGGATTCAACCAACCACGGATCAAAAATATTTGAAAAAAGGGGCCGGCCCAGTGGCACGGCGGTTAAGTGAGCACGCTCTGCTGCGGCGGCCCGGGGTTCGCAGGTTCAGAGCCCGGTCGTGCACCGACGCACTGCCTGCTGTGGCGGTGTCCCATATAAAGTAGAGGAGGATGGGCACGAATGTTAGCCCAGGGCCAGTCTTCCTCAAGAAAAAAGGGGAGGATTGGCATGGATGTTAGCTCAGGGCTAGTCCTCCTCACAAAAAAAAAAAAAAAATTTTTTGAAAAAAAAAATCCCAGGAAGTTTTAAAAAGCAAACCTTAAATTTGCCAGGCACCAAGTGCTACGGTGAATCCACATGAATGAAGTGATGTGTAGGCAACTATTTACATAGCATTTACATTGTATTTGGTGTTATAAGTAATCTAGAGATGATTTAAAGTATACCGGAGGATGTGCATAGGTTATATTTAAAGACTATGCCATTTTATATAAGGGACTTGACCATCCTTGGATTTTGGTATTCAAGGCAGGGGGCGGGGGGAGATCCTGGAATCAATCACCCCGTGGATACCAAGGAATGACTGTCAACAATTTTATATCTAGACAAGACTGAAAAAAGAAAACAGATCTAAACACTACAAACCACGCAGGAACTGTTGAAAAGTAGCCCATGCTTCAGTAAGTAATGACCATGACAATGCCTGCATGCTTGGCACAAGCAGGCAGGAGGAAATGTCAGGGAAAACAAGGGATCAAAACCTGGGACACAGAAGTGATATGCATCTGGATACAGTGACCCAGAGAAGGAGCAAGCACGGTGGAATCCATTCAGCTCACTGCAATACTACCAACCTGGAATCCTTTCCTAAGAGGGTTCCGTACAGCAGGTATCGGGGCTGCAGGGGGGAGAAGAGGGCAGGGCAAACACCCCAGCCCTAGCAACACAGCGGCGACCCAGAAAACTGGAGAAGCAAGCAGTGTCCATGGGACGTCCACATGAAAAACGACTGAGAACGGCTGTGGGGGAGAGAATAGAGCCTAGGCCAGGTCACTGTGAGGCTGTGAGAGTCTTACCCAGTGAGGAGATGAGTGCAAAGTTCTCCAGCATCACATCCAGGTACAGGCATCTTTGAGCCTCATCAAGGAGCCTCCATTGCTCCCGGGAGAAGTACACAGCAACATCGTGAAAGGTCACACTGTCCTGTTATGATCGGGACAGATGAAACCATCAACATTCTCTCTCTCTGGGATCCCATAATCCATCTTGCCACACATCTACTCCACACTCATCCTCCTCCAGAGCTCCCCACCTCAGAAGAATTCCAGGCCTAGGTGCCACTGATCCCCACCCTATCCTCAGCGTCCCTTTATTCACTGTGTTCAGCCCTCAGAAACATCAGGCAGCAGGAGCACAGAGACATCATCCAAGCTCTGGTCCTGGCCTGTAGGGTCCCACCCATCCTGTAAATCAATTCCCCTGGAGTTTCCAGATTTGGACTCCCGGACACAGCCAAACGTGAGCCCGTGCTTCACCCCTCAGTCTCCAACACCACGGCCCTAGGGCCATCAGCTCACATGTCCTCTCCACGTACACATCATTCTGTAGATTATACCTCTCTCAATTCTTCAGTGCCCACAGTTGCACTCTCACAGCTACGCATTTAAGGAAAACCCCAAATGCTGCTCTGAAGGCTTCCTCTATACCTCTGATCCTTGCTTCAATATTAGCCACTCAGAAGCACTTGTGAACTACAGATGCCCATGACCTACTTCCACTTCTGTGCTGCACTTCCTGTCTCCTCAGAGACCACAATCCTCCTCTCTCCACTCAACCTTCCTTAAAACCCCAGCCCTGATGGTCTCTGTGCCAGGCACAGTGACTCTCACAAATGACCACATTTGCACCACACCTCATCCAACACCAACACTGAACACCCCAGACCCCACTGAAGCTCACCACAAAATTCTGGTGAAGCTGTACATTAGTGAAGGAGCAGTGTCATCTTGTCTGGCCTCAGTGTCATCTTGTCTCAGTTGCTCCTCTGCCTCCACAGCCATCTCAGGTCCACTCATCCCACGGAAGCCTTAGTCACCTGCCAGACCATGCTCTCTCCCATATGGTCACCATGACCACTTCTCCCCATCACCTGGGTTTGTGTGCACCTCTGTACCTCATTAGGTGGAGAGCAAGAAAACCACTCCTCATCATGCATCCTCCTCTTTCTGACCAGCTAATAGCATCGCCATGATGACCTGCACTCCCCCGCCTAAATGGGATGCACAGCTCCTTCATGGTCCACACAACAGCCACCATTTTTTTTTTTGTGCTGAGGAAGATTCACCCTGAGCTAACATCTGTGCCAACCTTCCTCTATTTTTGTATGTGGGTCGCCGCCACAGCGTGGCTGCCGATGAGTGGTGTAGGTCTGCGCCTGGGAACCCAACCCAGGCTGCCCAAGCCGAGTGCCCTGAACTTAACCACTAGGCCACGGGGCCAGCCCCAACAGCCACCATCTTTGTATGCCTCCATCCTGAACCCCTCCTCAGATTTCCAGACCTATGTGTCCAGCTTCCCACTTGATGCCTCCACTCACTGTTCTCTGAAACATCTCAGACTTTTCACAGGGGCCAAACAAAACTTGTGATATTCACAAGGAAAATTAATCTATCATGAACTTCCACGTCCCAGTTGGAGTTTCCATCCCTACAACTGCTAGGACCAGTGACATGCAGTCATCCCTGACCCTTCCCTTTCTCTTCCTCACCTACAACATCGAAAAATCTACTTGATCCTTCTTAAAAAAATAGAGTCCAATTTTTTGCCTACCTCTATGGCCACCACTCTGGTCCATCAACACTCATCCAGATTATAGCAGTTGCCTCCTCCCAGGCTCCCTGCCTCCTCCCTTAACCCTATAATCTCCACTGTGCAGCCAGAAGGAGCCTGTTAAACGTGGGTAAGACCAACTCCTTCTTCTTATTCAAACCTCCCATTACCTCCTAAACAGATGCCCAATTTCTCAGGCAGCCACACTATGGCCTTTTCCTTGACCCCCTGCTCTTTGGTCTTTACAGAAGGAATGAAGATCTGCTGTCCCCTGTCTCCAGCTCAGTCATACCTCCAAGCATTTGCACATGCTGGGGTCACCGGTTGTCAGAAATGGGAACACCTCCATGTTACTCCTGGCCTCACTCAGGACCCTGGGCTTAAGGGTATCCCCAGGGTGCCTACAACCAAAAGCCAGGAAAATAGCAAGGGAAGAGGCTCGAGTCACCAAAATTCTGGACACAGGTAGTGTGAGGAGCAGTGAGGGACTGGAACACCCTCTCCTTCCCTGGGTAGGTTCCGTAAGTTCTTTTTCTAGTATCAGAACCTGTGGGAAGGGGCTGGCCCGGTGGCATGGTGGTTAAGGGCGCACCCGCGCTCCACTGCTGGCGGCCTGGGTTCGGATCCCAGGCGTGCACTGATGCACTGCTTGTCAGGCCATGCTGTGGCGGCGACCCATATAAAGGGGAGGAAGATGGACACGGATGTTAGCTCAGGGCCAGTCTTCCTCAGCAAAAAGAGGAGGATCAGCATGGATGTTAGCTCAGAGCTGATCATCCTCACAAAAAAAAAAAAGAACCTGTGGGAAGACGCAGGCAACCATGGCTGGGTTCCAGATGCACAGCCCTTGTCTGTATGCCCACCCAGCCCTGGAACTTGGTCACCTCGGGTTCACTTACTAAGTGAAGAGTAAGTTCACTTACTCTGTTTCAGTCCTCAGAGCTGCCTCTTACCAGCTCTGTGACCTTGGATGAGGACTCAACTCCCTGTGCCTCACTGTCCTCATCACCCTCCATTCCACTCAGTTCTCTTGCTCAGCAACTTTTGGAAAACTTTTTAAACTCTAACTCACAGTGTCCCTCTTCTGTTCACAACCCTCCACGGCTCCCAGGGCCCTCGGAGAAGGAACAGCCCCTCAGCCTCCAGTCCAGGCGACATTCCTCCTCACACTCTGTTCACTGCAGACAGAACACAGACCCCAGGTCCCCGACTCCTCCCGGCTCAGTCGCCCTCCACGCCTCTCCCCCGCGGGCCCTCCCCTGGGACCCTCTCCCACACCCGTCACCCCGGCTCTCAGAAACAGGCCCCACGAGCGCCTCCCCGTCCCGGACACCGGGGCCTGGGCTGCAGGCCCGTGAGCGGCGCCCGCACTCGGGGCTCTAGGGCTGGGCTGGGCTGAGGGCGGGGAGGGCGCGGAGCACGAGCACTGACCTGAGCCGGCTCCCTCCGCGCGGCCGCCGCCATCGGACTCTGGGGGCGGAGCGGGGCCGGGAGCGGCGGGAGAGGAGGGGACCCGGGCACGGCGGTCCCTGTCCCGGCCCTGGCGCGGGCCCCCCTGGCGGCGTCGCCGAGCCTCAGATCCGCCCTGTGCAGCGGGGACGGCGCCTCCTCTCGCGCCTCCTCGGTCCCGTCACCTCAGCCCCGACCCAGCACCCCGGAGCCTCTGACGGGGTGAGCTGACAAGAGAGACGCCAAAAAGACCGCGACGGATGTGATGGTGACCTGGCTGACTAGGTGGGTGTCCCCTTCCTCCCTCACTGCTCCATGACGGCGACCTTCCCTCGAGGAGGACCGTCCCCAGTCAAGGGTATCCCAGCGGCGGCGTCACCGCCTACAATCTCCAAACAAAGTGACCGCGCCGAGGAGGAGGCCGGAAGTCCCTCCCTAACGGGATGCGCACGCCGGGAAACGCCTTATTCTGGTCCCTCATTGGCTCATCTCCGCTTATGTCTCTCGGCATAAGCTCTTCCGAGTAGCGTGGTTCCCCGAGCTCTAGAGGCGGCAGAGGAGGGTGTTCTCCAAACCAGCCAGGGTGTTGTCCTCGGGTGTCCCTGAGAGATGCTGGAAATTGGTGCTCATACCCAAACGGAGGGGCTCTGCTCCCTGTTAAAGGCGGCGAAGAGATGTAATTTCGCACCAGTGAAGCTCAGCCTGTTCTCACAGCATAAAACTAGTATTTCAGGTGCTCCCAGATCTACTGCTGTACATCGCCATATCATTCCCTAGAGTCAGTCTGACATAAAATGAATCGATGCATTCCTGTAAACGTTACGTTATTGCTCTTCAAATGCGTGGTGCGTGAACTGTTATTCAGTCTTGTGAGTTAAGGTATGTTTGGTCAGGAAGTAGGAAAAACACTCTATAGAGAGCCATGAGAGCAAAGAAGAAGAGGGGTGTTAGGCCGCGCTGAAACAGGTGGACAAGCAGCAGCTATGCTTCTAGTGCCTACGAAAAACTTCTTTGCCTGTTTGCCTGTATCGACAGTGATTGTGTTCCACCTGTTTAGGAACACCGTTATCCATATGATAATTCTTAGTCCATAAGCTAAGACATACTCAATTTCTTTTGGCAATCGTACATAGATCTCAACTGGAGACCAACTTCACTAATGCTATTTTTCTAATAGACTTTATTTCTTAGAGCAGTTTTACGATCAGAGCAAAATTGAGCAGGAGGTAGAGAATTCCCGTATACCTCCAGGCCGCCCACATGCAATGAGTTCACACAGGAGTAACACCTCATAATGTGATGAAGGTGGCAAATACGTATCAGCAAGTACAGCTTCATTAAACACTGGAGAGTTCACACTGGAGAAAGACCATATTAGTGCAGTGAATGGGGAAAATCATTTAGTCAATCCTCCACACTCACTGAGCACCTAAGAGTTCATTTTGGATAAAGGCCTTATAAATGCACAAAATGTGGGAGATTCTTTTCCAAAAGATTTCCACTACCTTGTCATCAGAGAGTTCACATTGGGGTAAGGCTTAGGATGAGTGCATTGCATGTGGGAAATCCTTTACCTTTGACTCCAGTCTAACACATCTCACTGTTCAAATGAGGTGAAGGCCTTAACAAACACAGTTACTACTGTGTTATGGACTGAATTATTACCCCCATCTCATTTTTGTGGAAGCCCTACCACCATTTCTCTGTATTAAGGAGGTAGTTAAGGTTAAATATAGGCTCATCTAACAGGACTGGTGGTTTTAGAAGAATAGGTAGAGGGGCCGGCCCCATGGCTTAGCAGTTAAGTGTGCTTGCTCCGCTGCTGGTGGCCCGGGTTTGGATCCTGGGCGCGTACCGACTCACTGCTTCTCCGGCCATGCTGAGGCCGCGTCCCACATACAGCTACTAGAAGGCCATGCAGCTATGACATACAACTATCTACTGGGGCTTTGGGGGAAAAATAAATGAATAAATAAAATTAAAGAAAAAAAAAAGAAGAATAGGTAGAGACATCAGAGGCTCTCTCTACTCATGCACACACAGACTTTGAAAAATGTAGAAATGAAAAATTAAGGCATCAGTAAATAGTATTTAGTAAGAGTTCATTGTGAACAAAGAAACAGTTCCAGAACTTGAAGTCTTCAAATCCGAAACTGATATGAAGCTAAGAGGCATGACATTATAGGATGGCTTATGAAGTGAAAATGAGGATGTTGTTTAACATTTACAATGATCGGTTATTACAATGAGGGTTTCCAAATGGCAGAGGATTGGTCATCTTCCATTTTGGGAAGATGACTTAAATATCTTTTATGATTATTGGAGGCATTTACAAGAAATAAGTTTTGATTATGTTCATGAAATAAGCTAGATTTAGTTTTACTTACATGATTTAAATGGTTTTGTCACCTCGGCAAATTTTCTAGCCTCAGCTACATTTTGTTTATTTTAACAATGGGAAAAGCCATCTACAAGCCAAGAAGAAAGTTCTCACAAGAAACCATTAGTCTTGATGGGACCTTAATCTTGAAATTCTAGACACCAGCACTGTGAGAAAATAAGTTTCTGTAATTTAAGCCACATACTTTTGTTATGATACCCTGAGCTGACTTTGTTCTCATACCCTGAGCGGACTAATGCACATTATGGTAGCAGGAGTTGGGTGCTGCTGTAACAAATACCCTAAAATGTGGAAGTGACTTTGGAACTGGATAATTGGTAGAGCCTGGAAGAGTTCTGAGGTGCAGGCTAGATAAAGAAAAGATTGCCTTCAAGAGACTGTTGGTAGAAATATAAACATTAGTGGTGATTGTACTGAGGTCTCAGATGGAAACTGAGGAGAAATGTGACTCGAAACTGGAGTAAAGGCAATCCTTGTTATAATCTGGTAGGAATGTGGCCAAATTGTGTTAGTGTTTGGGGAAAGTAGATGTGGTTTGTGATGCACTCGCATATTTAGCTGAGGATACTTCTAAGCACAATGTTGCAAGTGCAGCTTGGGTTTTCTTTACTGCTTATTGTAAAATGCGAGAGGTAGGAGATGAACTGAAGAAAGACTTTTTGCGTGTGTGTGTGAGGAAGATTAGCCCTGAGCCAACATCCGATGCCAATCCTCCTCTTTCTGCTGAGGAAGATTGGACCTGGGCTAACATTTGTGCCCATCTTCCTCTACTTTATATGGGATGCGGCCACAGCATGGCTTGACAATCGGTGCATTGGTGCACGCCCGGGATCCAAACCTGTGAACCCTGGGCCGCCGAGGTGGAACGCAAGCACTTAACTGCTGCATCACCAGGCTGACCCTAAGAAAGACTTTTTAATCAAACAGGAACCAGAACTTGAAGATTTGGAAAGTTTTCCACCATCCATATTGCAAAAACATAAGAAAGCATGTTCTAGACAGAACACCAACGTGTGGCTGCAAAATTATTTGATAAAGAGATTATGGATGTGAATCACAACTTTAATCAACCATCTGGGGATAACCCAGGAATAGAGATAGAATTTTACCAGCTGAAACACTGCCTGCTGAGACTCAATGGGAAAGAAAAAAACAGGATGAGAAGAAGAAAGGCTGTTGGACTTGTGGGACTTCACGGGACCTGACAGGAAAGCTATCTGAATGCAAACATGTGTTATCCTTCAAGAAAAGGGAAGAATGACCCAAAATGCAATTAAGAGATCATCAGGGCTGCCACTCTCAGCACAGGCCAGGGGACAGGGCTGTTTCATCCTCAGTTTCAAAGGGTAGGGCCCACTCTTCAGATCCAGTGGACCAGGAAACCACTGTACAGGCCTCAGGGGTAAGGCTTCCATGCAGAGCTGAGGAAATGAGAGAGCCCTTGAAAAACCGAGGTGCCGTGGCTGCCATCTGGGTCTGTGGGAATATTGCTTCCACCCCAGTGGCCCCAGAGGGCAGAACATCCAGCCAAAGAGAATTATTCTGGGGCCCTAGGATCTACTGGGGTTTCTCTTGCTATGTTTTGAACGTGCTTGGGACCTGTCACTCCTCTCTTTTTCTGATGTGCCCGTTTTGGACTGCAGATGTCAATTATATACCTGTCCCACTACTGTATTTCAGAAGCGCATAACTTGTCTGCTTTCACAAGTTTACACCTGGAGAGGACTTTTGCCTCAGGATGAGTCCTACCTTGAGTCTCACTCATATCTGATTTATATGTTCAGGTGAGACTTTGGACTTGGAATTGATGTTGGAATGGTTTATGATTGTTGGTGCTGTTGTGATTCAGTGAATGTGTTTTGCATGCAGCAGAATATGAATTTTGGGCAGCCAGAGAGCAGAATGTTATGGACTGAATTGTGTGTGAGTCTCCCAAAATTCTTGTGTTGAAGCCCTAATCCCTAACAGGACTGTATTTGGAAATAGAGCCTTTAAGGAGGTATTAATGTAAATGAGATCATAAGGATAGGACGCTAATCCGATAAGACTGATGCCCTTATAGGAAGAGAAAGAGACACCAGAGAGCTCTCCATCTCCATGTGCATGCACAGAGGATAGGCTATATGAAGACACAGTGAGAAGGTGGCCATCTACAAGCCAGGAAGAGAGCCTCACCAGAAACCTACTCTGACATGTTGATCTTAGACTTCTAGCTTTCATAACTGTGAGAAAATAAATTTTTATTATGTAAGCCACCCAGTCTCTGGTATTCTGTTATGACAGTGTGGTATTGTGATAAGAAATATGTTTTTGGTCTTTCTCCTTGTTCCTTGTACACAGTTCCTAAAACCCTAGTAATTTCCTAAGTGATAAGAGCTATAAAGGTGAAAGGAGTGTCTTTTTGTGTGTGTGTGTTAGGAAGATCAGCCCTGAGCTAACATCCATGCCAATCGTCCTCATTTTGCTGAGGAAGACCGGCCCTGAGCTAATATCTATTGCCAATCCTCCTCCTTTTTTTTTCCCCCTTTTGCTCCCCAAAGCCCCAGTAGATAGTTGTATGTCATAGTTGCACATCCTTCTAGTTGCTGTATGTGGGACCCCGCCTCAGCATGGCCGGGATCTGAACCTGGGCCGCCAGTAGTGGAGCGCGAGCACTTAACCGCTAAGCCTCGGGGCAGGACCCGAAAGGAATGTCTTTGGTTATTCATAACTAGCCCTTTTAAACCATACCTGACTTTATGTTAATGAGATGACCTTTGGAAAACCATTAAAGATGGGGGTTGGTTACCAGAGGAACCAGTTACATGATTGGGGGGTTGGAACTTTTGTCCCAACCATGACCTCTGGGGAGAAGAAAGGCACTGGAGTTCAACTTAAATCACCAGTGGCCATT